TCTTCTAGTCCTGTTTGCACAGCAAAATGAAGCGGTGTCTGACCCCCCTCAGTTTTCAAATTTACATCGGCACCCTGATCTACGAGGATTTGTACGATATCTATGCGTGCCTCTTGAATGGCTAGGTGCAGTGCCGTTTGTTCATTTTTGTCTTTGGCATTCACGTCAGCCCCTCTCTCGATCAGCAACCTGCAAATTTCTTCTCGTCCTCTTTGCACAGCAAAATGAAGCGGTGTCTGGCCGAATTTATCTTTCACGTTGACATCGCCACCCTGATCTATGAAGAGTAGTACGATATCTTTGTGCCCCTGCTGAATGGCTACGCGCAGTGCCGTTTCATCAACTTTGTTTTGGGCATTCATGTCAGCTTCTCTTCTCATAACCAGTCCCTCTATATCGTCCGGCCTATGGGGAATTATTATTAATTAAATCACTGTTTTTAAATCTTGTGCTCAGGTCGCAGAGATCAACTCATTAGTCTCTCCAACTGTAGGCAATATTTTTCTTATAGACTGTCGTGTGAAAATGAGGAGGAGCTGAGGTGATTTTAAACAACTTTTTTCTTTGCGAAAAAGTTATCCGAGGCGTGGTTATTGAGTTATTAACAAAAACCCCCGCACAATCAGAGGGCGAGTATACAAGGCGGGCAGGAGCGCGGCAACCGCTTCGCGCGTTGCCGCGCCCGTATGTCCCGCTCGTGACGACAGCATAGAATTAAAGAAATGTTGCATGCAAAAACGAACTAATAAATTGGTTAATTATCAGAAGAAAGAAAGGGATTGGTCGTTACTTACGTTCACTGAACGAATGTAACATGCTCAATGAAATAACACACAACTTTACAAATTACAGGATAGGTAAAATTATGAAAAATGTGAAAAGAATCAGAGTTGAACTTACTTCTTCGTTGGTCAGTGCACCTGCTCGTAGAAGAACGTCAATGGGTCAATGGGTCGACCTTCGGCATTCGAAGATAGGATGCATCGCTCGCAGCAGCTGATGCTTGGAGTAAGTCAGTGACCTGCACACGACAATTTTTTCCTTATCATCACGATCATTGTCACTTTCCCACTGACAAATTTTCACAAAACAAAAATTTTCACTTTTACACTTTCCAAATTCACTGCCACTTTTCATGTTACAAATCCACTGTCACATTGCACTTTGCAATTGAAAATTTGCATACACGTTTTTATTTTAATTGTTAATTCTGATCGCGCGAGGCGGTTGCCGCGCTCCTGCCCGCCTTGTATACTCGCGCTCTGATTGTGCAGGGATATTTGTTAATAACTCAATAACCACGCCTCGGATAACTTTTTCGCAAAGAAAAAAGTTGTTTAAAATCACCTCAGCTCCTCCTCATTTTCACACGACAGTCTATAAGAAAAATATTGCCTACAGTTGGAGAGACTAATGAGTTGATCTCTGCGACCTGAGCACAAGATTTAAAAACAGTGATTTAATTAATAATAATTCCCCATAGGCCGGACGATATAGAGGGACTGGTTATGAGAAGAGAAGCTGACATGAATGCCCAAAACAAAGTTGATGAAACGGCACTGCGCGTAGCCATTCAGCAGGGGCACAAAGATATCGTACTACTCTTCATAGATCAGGGTGGCGATGTCAACGTGAAAGATAAATTCGGCCAGACACCGCTTCATTTTGCTGTGCAAAGAGGACGAGAAGAAATTTGCAGGTTGCTGATCGAGAGAGGGGCTGACGTGAATGCCAAAGACAAAAATGAACAAACGGCACTGCACCTAGCCATTCAAGAGGCACGCATAGATATCGTACAAATCCTCGTAGATCAGGGTGCCGATGTAAATTTGAAAACTGAGGGGGGTCAGACACCGCTTCATTTTGCTGTGCAAACAGGACTAGAAGGAATTTGCAGATTGCTAATCGAGAGAGGAGCTGACATGGATGCCCAAAACAAAGGTGGTGAAACGGCACTACACCTAACCATTCAGAAGGGACACAAAGATATCTTCCAACTCCTCGTAGAGCAGCGTGCCGATCTCAACTTGAAAACTCTGTGGGGCGAGACGCCGCTTCATTTTGCTGCGCAAACAGGACTAGAAGAAATTTGCTGGTCGCTAGGCGTGATATTAGCTACCGTGAATACCCGAAACGAAAATGGTGAATCGGCACTGCACCTAGCCATTCAGAAGGGACACAAAGGTATCGTACAAATTCTCATGACACATGGTGCACATATCAACTTGAAAACTCGGTGGGGCGAGACGCCGCTTCATTTTGCTGTGCAAACAGGACTAGAAGAAATTTGCAGGTTGCTAATCGAGAGAGGAGCTGACGTGGATGCTCAAAACAAAGATGGTGAAACGGCACGGCACCTAGCCATTCAGAAGGGGCACAAAAATATCTTACAACTCCTCATAGATCAGGGTGAGGATGTCAACGTGAAAGATGAATTCGGCGAGACACCGCTCCATTTTGCGGTGCGAGTAAAACAAGAAGAAGTTTGCAGGTTGCTACTCGAAAGAGGAGCTAAAGTGGATACCCGAAACGCAAATGGTGAAACGGCACTGCGCGTAGCCATTCAGAAGGGGCACAAAGATATCGTACAACTCTTCATAGATCAGGGTGCCGATGTCAACCTGAAAGATAAATTCGGCCAGACACCGCTTCATTTTGCTGTGCAAATAGGACGAGAAGAAATTTGCAGGTTGCTAATCGAGAGAGGAGCTGACGTGAATGCCAAAGGCAATGTTGGAGAAACGGCACTGCACCTAACCATTCGGGAGAGATACAAAGATAGCCTTCAAACCAGCGTACATCAGGGTGCCGATATCAATCCGGCAAATCAGTTGAACCTGACACAAACCTATTTTGCAGGGCTGGGAGGACCAGGAAGAATTTGCAAGTTGCTAATCGAGAGAGGAGCCCGCGTGAATGCCAAAAACAATGGTGGAAAAACGGCACTGCACCTAGCCATTCAAGAGGCACGTATAGATATCGTACAAATCCTCGTAGATCACAGTGCCGATGTAAATTTGAAAATTGAGGGGGGTCAGACACCGCTTCATTTGGCAGTGCTCATAGAACTAGGAGAAATTTGCAAGTTGCTAATCGAGAGAGGAGCTGACGTGAATGCCAAAGACAATAGTGGAGAAACGGCACTGCACCTAGCTATTCAGAAGAGCCATAAGGATATAGTAGAAATCCTCGTAGATCAGGGTGCCGATGTCAACTTGAAAGCTCGATGGGGCGAGACGCCGCTTCATCTTGCTGTGCGAGTAAAACAAGAAGAAATTTGCAGGTTGCTACTCGAAAGAGGAGCTAACGTGGATACCCGAAACGCAAATGGTGAAACGGCACTGCGGGTAGTCATTCGGAACATACAAGAAGATATCGTACAAGTGCTCGCAGATCAGATTGCCAATGTCAACTCGCAAACTCGAAGGGGCGAGATACCAGATACTGTGCAAGTAGGACAAGAAATTTGCAGGTTGCTAATCGAGAGAGGAGCTAACGTGTTTGCCTAAAACAAAGGTCGTGAAACTGCACTGCACCTAGCCATTTAGAAGGGACACAAAAATATCGTACAACTCCTCGTAGATCAGGGTGTCGATGTCAACGTGAAGAAAGAATGCGGCGATACACCGCTTCATTTTGCTGTGCAAGCAGGACTAGAAGAAATTTGCAGGATGCTAGTCAAAGGTGGCGCTGACGTAAATGACAAAGATGTAAGTGGATGCACAGCTTTACACTTCGCCGCTGAGCGTGGTCAAATGCGTATCATGGAAATTCTCTTGAATTCGAACGTTGACATCGATTCCATAAATGAGAATTGTGACACTGCACTTCATCTGGCATCCTGCTCCAATTAGTATGAAGCCGGTCTGACTCTCATAGAAAACGCGTCCGACGTAAACATTTGTTAGATCATGTAGATTCCCATGTTTCTATTGACACATACAAATATGTATATATGTGTGAGTGTGAGCGCGAAGGTATCGCGACAATTTCGTGCGGCACTCACTCCCATGTAACCGTTCTCACCAAGAGCAGTACAGCTCAGTGCTGTTAAGACACATACTTAAATAAAACCGACTTCTCATTCTTACTTAACATAATATAATACACTTTTCTACTCTGAAACGTCCTATCAACATTATTAACAAAGACCATAAAACAGCGTTAAACTTATACTGTTCTAAGTATAGACTTATGGATCGTTTCAGGTTTCCCAATATCCAGCAGCTGCTAATTAAAATGCAGATTGCTAGCTTGGACGTGAATGACGGAAATGTAGAGAATCTTAATATCACTACGGATATGAACGAGCAATCTCTAAAATTTCAGGAAAAATGTATTGAAGAGATAATAAGAATGAAAAACATAAAAATTAACGATACTATCCTAACATTTCATGATATCCTAACAAAACGCATAGACCAAATAGCATTATACGCGAGAAATGAAGATGTTCAGGTTTTGAAACGGAGTAATTATCAGAGAGAATTTCCTATGTACGAAGACATAATAGAACGTCGATTCAATAGAGGTATTTTACGAAAGAAGTTGTTAGACGAGGGCGTTACATTTTTCCGCCGTTACTTCAGTAGAGATTATGATTCACTGTGTATTCAAGGAATANTATAAGTCAGTGGTCATTCGCTTTAAAATCACCCGAGTAACTATGGATGATTAATGGAAATGACCTAATTCTGATTAATAAATTAATGGACATGAACCTCAGAATTTTTTTTTATTTCGCGATCCTTGACTAAATGTTATTCAAAATATTTACATATTATATATAATTGAAATGTGTTTACACGTTTTCGAAACTCCTAATTATGTCAAGTTCATTATTAAGCTGATAAGACGATTACTGAAGTATTTTACGAGTGAAGATATTTTTCAAGATCTCGACGAAGATGCTACTGTAATTTTATGATACCGCGCTTGGAACTTGATTTTGAAACACGACGTAGATAGAATCTAATATAAATTCCCTTCGTTACCCAAGAATATCTCTTATTAAAGACGTTATTCTTGCGACGTTGCAATTTTTACCGAAAGGCCAATCGTCTCGTACGGAGAAAGTGGCGAAAAATTTGCAAACCATTAGAACGCTCCCTGATCGACAATAAAGTAATTTGCAATCGCATTAATAAATTATTAGACGAAAGTAGATTTTTTCTGGTGGGGAGCTCACGCAAGCCTCAAGACACATTTGTTTCACGGCTCGCGCCTCGATTCCCGATGCTGATTGCTCGCGAATAGGCATGTCGAAACGAGAGTTTTTGTTAGGCGCCAACAAGGATGATACGTCCAGTTAATTCATTATTCACGTCGTTTCACAATCACGCGTAAAAGCAACGATGGAAGAGAGATCAGTAAAATCGCTTCGAAGGATCGTTGCGTAACACCCGAACGAATTTAGAGCATCCTTTGATCGCACTGTGACCTTGTCCATCACGGCTGAGAGAGTGAAAGATCATTCGGAGAGATTGCTTTCATGATTATCTGGACGAGTTGAAGGATAGTCAATTCTTCACTTCTCTCTCATTTAGGTATAAAAAAATGTGTGTCATAATTAAACTGCGTTTATTCAACCATGATTGGAATACAGACTTTATGCTATGAACAATGAAGGCAAACAGAAAGGAAGGCAGAGTGCAGGTTTTAAGAAGAGTCATCAATATTTCATTTCTCTGCCATTTATATGAAAATTGTATAGCGTACAGTTTTTAAAGAACATTTAAGCAGGTGCAGATTACAGAATCACGAGGCCCGCGGCTAAAATGAATATGGAGCCCACTTAAGGATAGCAAAAGATGACCATTTTGTGAATATAAATAAAAACTATGTTATTATTTTTTCAATTTATTATTGTAACTATTTCTTCTTTGGTACTTGTACATTAGAAACTACAAATTAAATTATGTATGCGCATTATGATATTTTCTTATTCAAGCTGGCGGGACCCTTCGGATGTTGGGGCCTGGGGCTAAAGCCTCTGCTAGCCCCCCTTTTAATCCGCCTATGAATGTAAGAAGAGTCAACTCTTCATTTCTCTGTCATTTATGTAAAAAAATGTGTGTCATAATTAAATTGCTTTTATTTAGTTATGATTGGAATACAGATTTTATGCTATGCACAATGTAGAAAAACAGAATATGAAAGACAGAGTGTAGTTTTTAAACTATGATCTGAAGAGTTGTATTCTGTCCTTTGTACTCTGCATATATTATTCCTGTATTGTTCATAAAATATTTATGATACTAAATTAAAAAATTAATCTTAATTACTTTAAATATTGCAATTACATTGATCGACGCAGTTGAATAGATTTTCCAGTTTATATCTCCCGTTTCATTTTATATTATTTCCTGCAGCAGTTTCAGGAAATGAACATTTTTATCGTTCGACCAACTTGTTGTCTGGCTGTGAATTTAATATAATACTCAGGCGTACAGCAGATCAAAATTCAAATGCTTATTGATGTTCTTTTAAACGAATTCTATTTCTTTTTATAAATGTTTCTTCAGTCTGTTTGCAGAACAAATATCTGCAGTTTATTTACAGTAAGTATTCCCATTTGTAAATATTTGCAAATTTTATTTACAAAATTATACGCATAATAGATAGTGGCTAGAGAAGGACCGACCGTGGTTTTCCCATTCACAATTAGTAGATTATGGCACATACTTTCCCTCACAGGAGGGTGTCAAGCTCCTTGATAACAATTGATGCAATTGAAAATTCGGCTTGTTCATCGGTCGCCAGTTGTTGCAAACATCGTGTTGCATGATAAGGAGCTGAGGTTAGTCCGAACGTGACCTTTTTCAGCTCGAAAGTCTTTATGCGATTTGGCAGGTTTGTCCATAAAATACGTTGAAAGACTCGACCCTCCGGACGAACGAGGAATTGGCGGTACATCTTTTCGATGTTCCCGGTCAAAACGTAGGTATAAATGCGAAATCGTAGGAGTAGAGACAGAAAGTCGTCCTGTCATTAAAACATCGTTTAGGGATAAACCATTGTCCGACTTAGTTGACCACTCGAACTCTTGGTGCCGAACTCGAAGATTTTATGACTGCGTGGTGGGGTAGGTAGAAGCCCGGCATCTCAACCGTGTCTACCTGTAACATATGATTGAAACGTGCGATATTCGTCAATTACAGCTGCATATTCATCTCTTGAAACTCCGATCGCGGACGGATTCACCGATGGTGCTGGAGACTCGTTCGTGTTTCCAAAACTCGTTGGTGGCTGATGGATCGCTGATTCATCTATCTGACATCATCTAATTGTTCGAGCGAGGTCACCGGGCTCGCGATCGCGTCGTCATATTGATTGATGACGAGTTCGCGTTGTACTTCCACCTCGTCGCCATCTTCTGCGAGACCTAACTTATCTTGAATTTCATTAAATGATTCAAATTGCTTCCGGAGGCGTTCTATTTTTTTTTTCGCAAAGTTTCACGCGTTCTTTTGGCGAGTCATGGAAAGAAACAACGTTTTAAGTTTACACGATGCGATTCAGCTCGCCGACTCGCCCGAGCAGCTCGACGGGCCCAAGCGGCTCGATGCGACCGAGTAGCTCGACGCGTTGTGAATAGCTCGAGAATTTCGATGTATCGAGTTAGCGTCCGGAGTCGCTCGGTTTTTTGCCAGCTCGACTCGAGGACCGAGCTAATCGGTTTTTCGGGTACTCGCACGTCTCTACAGGTATCCAAATACATTTTTGACAAATATTTTAAACTCAAAATTCAATTGCAGTTTAATTTGTCAAATTAACGATCGAAAATGCTATGAAATTAAAGCATTTTTTAAATGATGATTAACATTCAGTCATTAATTGAGATTTCTTTTAATTAAGAATTAAGACTTAGTTTTTAGTGTTGGTTGTTTGGGCTAATTGTCAATCATCTCCTCTTCTATCGTTTTCGTCAACGATCATTCTATGTTGCAAAGCACCAGTTCTCGTCCGATCACTGAAGTTAAACAGCATTGGGCGCGGATAGTACTTAGATGGGTGACCGCTTGGGAACTCCGCGTATCGTTGACATCTTTCTTTTGTCATTTCAAGTATCCAAAAGTATTTCTATGAAAGTATTCTTTACTTTATACTGCTTACGCCACGTTATAACTTTTTGAACTAAAATTCCCAATCTTTGGATTACCACATTAACAATTAATGATTAAATTCTAATCGATAAGTTTAGTAAGGATTAAATTATATAATTT